GTGACAGAGAAGATGTTCTGAAGGATTGCGTAGCCCCTGGATATTTAAGTAATCTCTGGACTGCTTTCTTTCTCAACCAGAGAAAGAATCTCACTAGACTGGCCATGCACTTGGCAAATAATTATTGAATGTCTGAAAGTGCTGGCCACTGGGTCTCTGGCCTCTCAGTGCTCTCTAGTCTAATCAGGGAGACTGGGGCTGAGAAATGTGATATTTTTATGCACGCAGTTGACTCTTGAACAATATGTGTCTGAACTGTGCAGGTCTGCTTCAACATGCAAATTTTGCATTGTGCAGTACTGTGGATGTATTTTCTCCTTCTTAGGCTTTTCTTAATACCGTTTCCTTTTCCCTAGCTTCCTTTCTTGTAACAATCCAGTATATCTTACATATAACATACAAACTATGTGTTAATCGACTCTTGATGTTATTGGTAAGGCTTCTGGTCAACAGTAGGCTCTTAGTAGTTAAGTTATATGCCAATTTTTGACTGTAGTGGGGGGCTGTCCCCTGTAACCCCAAGTTATTAAAGGGTCCACTGTAACTGCATGGAAAAGGTGAGTGCCCTTAATGTCCTCATCTCTAAAATAGGGCCAATAATGTGACCTACCACACAGAGGATTAAGTAAGAAAATACACATGTCAACAGATCGTACTCCAGAGACTGGCACGAGCTAAGTGCTTTGGTTGTTATTTCATAAGAGCATGGGGCAGGGCACAACCAACTGTGCCTGAAAGAGGTGGATAAGGTCTGAGATGAGCAATTTGAGTTTTAAAAGATGAGTAGGTGTTCACTGAATAGAGACATCAGAGGGAGCTGGGTGCAAAGGCACAGAAGTACTAAGGACTTCTAAGTACTAAGTTCTTGTTAGTACTTCTTAGTACTAAGGACTTTGTACTAAGTACTAAGTTCCAGGAGAATGGAGTGGGTATGGCAGGAGGATACAGTACATAAGGAGGAAGGATAAATGGTAGCAAATTAGGAAGGGAGCAGGTAATGCTCCACAGAGGAGGTGACATTTCGACTGGGTCTTGAAGGATGAGTAGGAGTCTGCCAGGCAAAGGAGAGGGAAGAACATTCTACCAGTGGAAGGGCATATACAAAAGCACAACACTGTACACGTGTTTGAACAATTTGGGAGACTGTGTACTGTCACTGAAGCTCTGCATTTAAGGACTCCTGTCCCCCAGGGAAAGGTTTCATGGGTATCTGAGCTTGTTTGGCTGACCAGTGGGGTGGGCTCCCTGAAGTCAGTCTGTAGGAGGGATTCAGTGGGGAATGGAGGCTGTACACGGAACCATAAGGAAGAGGGATTAGGAGGACAATCTCACATCAGTCTTAGAGGCTTATGCTCAGTACAGCCTCCGCGTCCTGGCAACGAAAAGGCTGGAAATGGAACTTGAAGGATTCATTTCCATGCAAAAATCCAGGAGATCCTGAGGCACAAGAAGACCCCTGCCTTGGCTCACATAATACACACTCAAGAACTATGTGTTAAACTGGTTTCATGGAAGGTGGCAACATAAAAGAACATGGATGGGGAGAGGGGCATTCTTTCCACTTGTGCCCAGGATAAGGTGCCACTGGGGAAGACTGAGGATTCCAAAGCACCAGCACCACACCGCTTGCATGTCTAGGCCTGCAGAAGGAGCCCCCACCAGTCATATCCCAGCGGGCAGTGGTGGGGCATATCAGAAGACTTATGGTGGTGGAAACAGTAGGTGGCCCACATGAAATGACTTCTGGGACTTCCTGGGAATCACCCGGGTGTGGAGACTATGAAGAGGAAATGATCCTGTAGGAGGAGAGAAGGACAAATACCAATAAACATGGGCCACACCTAGAAGACTAAATTGCTAGGACTGAAATTCAGATGCAGGTGATCAGGGCAAGGGAAGAGTACCAAAGGGGTCAGAGTGTCTGGTTTGAGTTCTGTGTGGTTCCCCCACTGGAGGTGGAGTAATGTGGGGATTTAGAGTCCATTTTAAGGTAAGCGTGGGGTGGAGCAAGCTGACAGAGATGAGGGGAACTATGTACAGCTAATGCACATAGTACGGGGTGGGCAACTGGAGGCCAAAATTCAGACCAAGCAGTAGGTCAAGGATTTGGGTTTCCAGGCTCGGCATGGGGAAATGGTTTCCCAAGCACCTCCTACACCAGGTAACACTGCTTTCCCCATTACCTTCAGTGTTTTCCTTTCTATAGGGTCTCTCCCTTCAGTACTCAGACATGGCTACATATCTCCCATATTCAAAAGAAAAACTTTCCAGGGGTGCCTGGATGGCTCAGTCAGTTGAGCATTTACTCTTGGTTTCCACTCAGATACTGATCTTAGGGTTGTGGGATCGTGTCCCCCCATTGGGCTCCGTGCTCAGTGAGAAGTCTACTTACCCTCTCCCTCTGCCCCTCCTCCTGCCTGTGCACACACTTTCTCTCTCTCTCTCCCTGAAATACAGATATAAATCTTTAAAAAACAAAAACAAAAAACCCCCAAAACTTTCCTTTGACCCCATATCCTCCTCCAGCTACTTCCTTCATGTAATCTCCCCACTGTCTACAATGAAGCTTCTCCAAAGAGTGACTCTAACTTCTGTCTCCGATTCCCCATCTCCCTATTCACTTCTGGCTTCTGCTCCTATCGTTTCCCCAGCACGTCACCACCAATGACTTCTGTGTTGCTGACCCCAGGGCACACTTTTGCGTCCCTATTTTATCTGATACCTCAGCTTTCTTGGCTTCTGCTATAGGACACACCTAACTGCTTTAGGGGTTTGAGGCAACTTGGTTTGGATCAACATAGATGACAAAACTCTCACCTTGCTCCCTGTGCAGCAGACTGAAATTGAGGCCCTCCTGAAACCTAAGTCAGTGGCCTTCTGTCCCCAGTCTCTTCAGTTGTCTGGGCCATGGCTTTCCTGAACATCCATGGTCATAAATGAACGTTCACTAATCCCTTGACATGCACTGGCTAAATTAAGCCTCACTGCAGGATTGAGGCAAAAGGCAATAGTATCATAATTATCCCTGTTTTATAGATGGGGAGAGCGACACAGCTGGGAAGTATAGAGCTGGGATTAAAAGCATAGGCAGTTTGACCGAAAAGTCCCCACTCTTAGTGACGTTGCCACAGTGGGAGAGAGAGAGAGCATTGAGCTGAGTGTGAAACAACCCCCTGATCGCCTGCTACAGGGTCCAAGGTCAACACCGACCAGGGACTCAATTACTCACACAGCATTCCTGCAGATGGTTTTTCAAAATTAACTTTTTTATTAATTTAAAAATCAAAAAGTACACCGACTACATAAATAAGTACCCTATTTAGGTACATGTCTTGTGAGAAGAACGAAAGGCTAATACTGTTACGTTAAGTTTACTCTTACTTGTTTACACGAGTTAACTATAAAATGGCTACAACTGCTAAATGGTGCTTATGGTCTTTGTTGTTCCAAGTGTTTATGATACAAATAAATACACAAGAAGAACCACATCCATTCCTCTCCTAACTACAGGTGGCTTGGCCTCTTCTCCCTATGCCCTACTGCCTACACCACACCAAACACTGGAAGGTTTCTGTGTTGGCCTAGCCCAGTTCCCCAGCTCCTGCTTCACAAAGCACTTTGGAAGGGTGTGTCCCAGCCCCTGGGGGCAGAAGTCTATCTAGGGAAGCTCTCTGGGTGTTCCCTTATGGTTGAGCTTTCAGAGAACACCTGGGTGGGAAGGCTTTGGGGTGACTCATCCCAAAAGGGGAAATCACCACTTGGCCTGAGGATCCAGTTACTTGTTTCCACACTATGGAAATGCTGCCACCTCTGGGAGGGAGGCAGCAGCTACTCAGCAGCCTCGTCCCCGGTAATGCTCACTGGCCTCTGGGCCCTGAATGTCCTCCCTCCCTTTCCCATAGAGCATATGTATGAAGCATTGGTCCCGTGAAGGCCTGGCCACGAGGTACCCCTGTATCTCTTTGAGAACAGACTTTATGCCAGGTTGCCCTAAAGATTTTTACATTTTTCCTTATTGGTGTCATCGACTATAAGGAAAGCAATGCTCCTCTCTCTTATGGTCATGGAGTGGGAAATACATGATGTCTGCGTCCTTGATACTTCTGAGTACTCATTAGAATTCATTCATGCCCAGCACAAGGGATGAAGCTAGAAGGCAGGCTTGAGATCCTTGTGGAGAATTTATAGTTTTGCCACAAAGATGATGTTTAAAGCTAGGCCTCTGAACAGATAAGTTCTGCTCTGGTATCAAGCTGCAAAAAGACATTTTCTGAGCAGCCTTCTCCAGGATTCATGACTCAGATCCCCACTCGCTGGGTGAGATGAGAATGGCAGGAAGGTTTAGAACAAAGATCCTTGTCAGAATGTCCACTTCCCCAAATGCACAGTAATTGTCCTAACTGAACAGCCAATCTTCAGAAGCTTGTGGGGACTGAGCCCCTTTGCAAAGTCAAAATGAACTCCTGTAATTGGAGAAGAAGGAAAACTGCCCCTTTACGGAGCTTCTAGAATGTAATCATTTAACCTAAATTTTTGGACTATAGAACTCTGACCTCAAGAAAATTCGTGAATATTGAGCTATTCGTCAGTGACTCCCATTGACTTGAAAACACAGAAGGTTGCCTTGTTGACTTTCAGTCACCATTTTTTTCAACAATTATTTTTCTTCTGCGGAGTCAGTTTCGGAAGATTTTACCCAGTTCTAACTTCTTTCCGGGGGCCCAGAGGGCTCAGGGAGAAAAGAGAAGTGGTATCCCTAGGGAAAAGTTATCTACAGCTTCAAAGTCAATGTGGTCATGAAATGGTGTTCTTATTCTTCATCCTGCCACCATAGTTTGTGACTTCAGCCAACACACCACTGACCCAAGGGCAGAACTTTCTGCTCGCAATTCCTTCTTTATCCTCCTGGGTACCCACAACTTCAAAGCTACTTGGGAGCCAGATGAGGGAAAGGAGGGGAGAGACTATGCAGCAATTTAGTGTGTGTGTGTGTGTGTGTGTGTGTGTGTGCGTGCACGTGCGCACCCTTGCGCGTATGCATGCGTCTGTGTCAATGAGGATGGGGAGTTAATTTTTTCTTAAAAACACAAGACATCCTAAAATTCAAAGAGTATAATATTTTCTGTGTACTACACAACTTCTACTAAGCAAATTCTCGTCTCTTCTCTTTCATTGGAGTAACTTCCTAGATAGAAACCCTAGGGTTTTGTTTACTCTTTAACCTGTAAAGAAATGTGATTCTCCCAGAAACTAGAGCAGTGCTGTGGTGTTCTATCCCTCTTCCTCCCACAAATAATTCAAGACTCTTCTAGTCTCCTGGCAGGAGGTGTCTGAGGACTGACACACCACTGCACACAGAGGAGCGAGTTATGCTGTGCATGGCGTGAATAATGAACTGCATTTGAGTCTGGGGTTTTAGGACACTGTTGACTTAAGCAAAATCAGCCCGCAGTCCAGCTGCAGCTTGAGTTTTCTTGCTTTACCCTCTCCAATACTGTCTGTCTCATCTAACAGTGGCCCTTTTCAGACCTCTCCAGGTATAAAACCTTGACCAAATCTTCAAGCTCTGTTCTGCACACACGACTTGAACACATCTGGCTGATCTGAGCTTCTCCTTCGGTGAAGATCTTCCACTGGCCTACAAAGCAAACACAGAGTGGCCCAGACATATAAGAGGAGGACAGAGCCAACGAGGAGTGTAACCAATCTAGCTGATCCTTACCCACTTGGTCCCCGGGGGATCAAAATACAAATGTCAGGTGGTTTCAACAGAGCAATCCCCCAAAACATGTTTCTGGGACAGATATGAAAAAGGGCCATGGAGCATTCATTTCAACACGCAGGATTCGTAAGAATCCCAAGAATAATACCTAATGGCCTCAAGAGTCAAACCCAAGTATTATTCTTGGAGTTTTTGCAGTATATGTAGCATTTGAGAAATGCCCCACTATTAGATTGTGAGCTAATTAGGTGGCTCACTTGGCACCACGTCAAATAAAGCAGTACCTGTATGTTACTGAGGTTTTGCTTTTCGGGGGGCAGATACTGGTTTAGGGAACTTGATTATTTACTGCTCTTTTCTCTGTTCACACCACCTTTTGCTAACAACTGCCCACCTCTGTTTTATTCTATGCTCACATGCTGTCCTTACACCCCCTTTAACACCCCTCAGTCCCTTCCTGTGGCTATCCCTCCCATTCCCTGTTTTCTCCTCTCCCTCCACGGACGTGCCCATACTTCCAGGCTGTCCTTACCAACTTGCCCCTTCCCCAATCCATCATGCTAGTTGAGCAAATATTTTTGAGTTCACACCCGTGCTGACCACTGGTAATCACTCTAGATCATCCCTCTTCTGGACCAGTCCTTCTCTGACTCTCCTGATCCTCAAGTGTCAAGATTTTCCTTCTTCCGCTGTCACTTTACCATGGCAAATAATCTTTGTAACAAACTGCCCACACTGGATATCCTCCTTGGTCTTTTGATTCCTGTTCTTGTGGTGTTACAACCTAGGGAACTCCTGGTCCAAGGTCAGTGAGCTTCTCTTCATCCAGAATCTATTCTCAACCTCTTTTCTTTCCCTGGCCACAGGAGATCGCGTCCCTCTTTCCTTACAGACTCAATGTCTCTGTTCCCTTTCTCCCCTGGATCCTTCACTTTTCTCTGTTCTCTCCAACTCAGTGGGAAAGGAGAGAAGGGTCAGGCAAGGAACCTGCTTCCCCCAAAGTCCTGCTGTGTGCCAGGATCTGATGGTCACATGACAGAAAGTGTCAGGCCTCTTTTTCTTTGTCCCCAGGTGCCCCTGCTGGATCATCTCAGTGCCCACTTCCTTCAGTTGTACACAGCTGGAAGCACACACTGTCTACTTCCACTATACACCCCAAATCCTGTTGTGGACAGAGAGTTCATTTCAATCATCTTTCAAGCCCCACCCCCCCCACCCCAGTGCCCAGCACAGTGCTTGCTCACGGTGAAACAAAAACGCGTTCTTTGAAATTAATTGGTAATTTCAAAAGTCACATCACTGGTACCAGATCCTAGTCTCTGCCCCTTTTATTCCTAACTCACATGTAAGGACTCCCAACGCTCAGTCTGAATTCTCCTCCCTCCTGTTCAGTTTATCGTCTGTAAGTCTCCTACGTTAATAAACAAGTGACCTCATCAACCCTATTTCCAGCTGCCCATAGAGTAAACTCTGTTCAAATGGCCTTTAAGCATCTTCAGCTAAACATATTCCAAGTGAAACGTATTCCCCCCCCCCACTACCTGCTTATTCTCTATTGTTTCCCATTAGCGAATTAACACTATTCACCCTGTCTATAAAGTTGTTCTTGTTGGGAGTCATTCCAAACTCACTTCTCTCTTTGTAGTGATGCTCACAATTTAACCTCAGAGGTGTCCCTCACAGTGACCTCTCCTTCCCTGCTGACCAACCTAATATAATGTAAGAGTTGTTTGTTTGTTTGTTGTTGTTGTTTTATGGTATAAGGGCTTCCTAATTCAGAGTACCACCAACTACTTAATCACTGAGAGTTCATTTTTCACTCCACACAGTGGGCACTCCATTCTAAAAAATAGACCTGCATGCATTGCACACTTGCTTAAAACCCTCCCCTGGGGTTCTCACATCTGGAAAGCAAGTCCAACTTCTCAGCATGGCATGTTGGGCTCTTCGGAACATGGCTTCATCAAAGTATAAGTATCAGACAGATAAATCTGTCTAGCCAAGAGACATCTTCCTGAAGCACCATTTTCATCTCGCTAGGCCATTTGTGAGTCTACAGAGAAGGCCACTTGCCTTCTCCGTGAACTTCTCCCTGGCTTCTTCCAGGGCCCCACCCCCTGCCCACGTTTCTTGTTCACTCCTGTCTGAGTCTTCTCTTAGGCTGTACCCTCTCCCTGAATGGATTTCCTGACCTGTCGCCCCATCACACCTTTCTCTTTCAAAACACACCTCCTCCCCGAAGCCTTCCTTGACTAAGCCCCTCTGGCTTCCTCACAGATTTCCCTGAGTACTTAAGTATTTAACCCTTCAGAACTAGACTGATTCATAGAGAAGGCATTTTCATGTTCTGTCTTGCCCATTGGCATTCCCTTTGGATAGGAATTCTGGGTCTTTTATTCCTTCAGAAGTACTCCCCCCTTCCCCAGTCCCTAGCAATATCTAGTCCTCAGGCACCATCCTGCATAGAAAGAGGTACAGCTGCAGGTATGAGTGCTGGTGAGTGCCTGGATGCTTTTAAAGAAACAGGACAACTCAGGGGCAGTTCTAAAGAGCTGAACAGAGCTTTGCTGCACTGGGATGTGTTCTCTTTCTCTCTGTCTCTCATCCCCACCACCAGAGGTTTCATCCTTCCAGACGGGACGTCTCCACAAATGAACTAACCAACTCCGGAATCTCGTGAGCTTTCTCTGACACTTTGGAGACTCCAGGGTTAGCAGTGTTCATTAAAGAGAGTCAGGAAACCTGAACTCAAGGAAGCTTATGCTCAGACCACGTCTGGATTTGTCTTCACCAGGTCCAAGCTTTTCAGCTCACATTCAGAGACCCCCTCTGCTGCTAAGTCCCCCAGAGAAGAGACAGAACATCTTCTGACATTGACCCTGAGCCTGCTGATAGTCATTGAGAATGAAAAGAGACTTTATTAGGGGCTCTGCTCCATGGAAGTCTGGAGGCATTTTCCAGGGGGAGTAAAGAAACACAGGGTTACCACTTACTCAGGGTCGTCCTGGTCACCAGCTTGAAGTGATGGAGTTCCTCAAACATCCTTTTGGAGATCTTTTCAATATGGAAGTGCTGGAGGATGCCTGGGGCCAAGTGAAAAAGTGGGGCAGGTGGTCAGGCCCTCTCTATCACCACCCCCTTTTTCTGCTTGGGTTGAGCATATCATCTCATTACAGGGGCTTAGGAGTATCGAGCTGGGCTGTGTAATGTGCTTAACCAGGAACTTGGATGGCTCAAGGGTTATAATTGACTCCATCTGTTTCCTTGGCTCACTGGCCTCTCCTAGGTTCTCCAGAGAATAGAAATATTGAAGATAGTGTTGCTGACCATGGGACCCCCTCCTAGGGAAAGCCACATGAATTGAGCATGGGTGCTGGTGGTAGCCTCTACCACCAAAGGTGGAATTAGAAATTCTGCCCTTGCCCCCACGTCCAGGTAGATTATGTCCCTGCCAAACCACTGGGCTGCCCTTCTGGCCAAGCAGCAAGAGCCAGCAGTGGGACTGTAGACAGGTTGTTTGTGTAAACGGAGAAGCCATCCCTGTTCCCGAACTCACTGAAAAGCATATTTTCCTTTGGGAAACATTCAGAGCTCCTTTAGGTTTCCCTTGCAGAAAATGGGGAAAGTCAAAATAAGGGGCGGGGGTAGCAGGTATCCACAGTTTCAACTTTGCCTGAAAAGTGTTTACTGGAATAACACCCAAATGGAAAATGGCCTCGCAATGAAGGAGCAACAAGTTACCAGCCTACTTAATCCTCAAGAGGTCTAGAGAGGCCACACGTAATTGTAGCCTGGGTGTTTCTCTACTCACTAAGCACAGTCTTTGGCTGCCCAGCACTGAACAAGAGGTCACTGAGACACTACACCAGCATGCTGAAAAACATCCACATGCCTCCAGGGAGTGAGAGGTGTGGAGAAAAAATAGTGGGTCCAGTGCAAGGAAAGCCAACAGAACAGGGCTTTAGATCTAGGTGACCAATTCTAGAGGAGTTAGGGAGTTAGAGCTGAAAAACCAACATTCCTTGGTATAGTCCAAGAATAAACATGGATGAGAAACGTGTGTTCAGCATTTTTTTCAGGGGTGGGGAGGAACTCACTCTTTCAGGCAAGAAAAGTTGGGAAAAGGAAGAGGAAGAAGCCCCATTAACACTCGGGCAGTTGTTTTTCAAAGAATGGTCCAAGTGCCGAATTAGAATCACTGGCTGTTTGGGACACACTGAGGTGCTACCTAAGGCCTACTGAAGTCACATCTCTTAGATGGGGCTGGGTAGCTATATAGTAGACCAGCTCCTTGTATGATGCGAAAGCAGAATACAGTTTGAGTGCTCTCGAGCCTTAGGCAGGAGAGAGCAGAAAAAGAATGTGCATTATTTCCCAACTGAAATCTTACCTCTTCACTTGGATTCCTAGAAAAGCTGACCAGACTAGATCAACACTAGCCTTGTATCTGTGGGATGGCCTAAAGAGCTATACGATCACAAGGAACACAACACAGCCCGCTATGGCAGTCAGTGTGAGTAATCAGGAAAAGAACTGGATGAACATAATGACTGGGATTGTCCCTTCAGTGAGACTCTAAATCTTCTTGAGGGCAGGGACAATGTTTTCAATGTGTCTTACCCCAGAGTACAGACCATGATTTCAGAGATGTAGCTTCACACCACACAATGGATTTTCACGTTGGTTGAGCTTCATGTTGGAAAGAATGGTAGGCTATAGTCTGGTTGGTTGTGACCTTAACTGCACATTAGAATCACCTGTGGAGCCTTCAATACACTCACACCAAGGCCCCGTTCCTGGCGGATCCATCAACGTCTCTGAGGGTAGGGCCCAGGCTTTTGGTATTTACAGAAACCTCTCCCAGAAGATTCTGATGTGCAGCTGGGGTGGAGAAACACTCCTCCAGCCTTTGTTGGTGTGAGAAAGACAACAAACTCTAAGGGTCAATGCTTAGCTTTTTCGACAGGTCATGACAAAAGTTAAAGGCCGTAATCACAGATGTGTTAGTCATGTTTCTGAGCAATCAGGAGAGCTGAGCCAAACAGGAAAAAGTTGAAGCAGAATTAAGGTGAGTCTTCCGCTCCTTCCCTGGTCCCCCACCCCTTACAAAAGAAATTAACAAAGACTCAATATTGTCTTGCTCACCCTTTCGAATGGTCCAAATGTGGACCTCTACCTGAGGTGGTCTCTCTGTTTCCAGGGCTATTTTTCTGGTGGTCTCCCCATCCTCTATGAACACAGATTCATACACAGGCATTGTTTCTTCTCCACAAAAGTAGCCCTTGCTGTCAAAGTTCTGGCCTGGAAGTTCTTCTGGAATCAGGAAGCAAGCAGAGGTTTTCCATGGCTTTCCAAAACCTGAAGTGAACTTCTAGGCATTCAGATATCTCGTTATTCATAACACCTCGCACTCATCAAATGTGGACAGTCAACAAGATCATTCTCACAGTGATAAAAATCCCATCCATATCTCCTCGGCTCAGTTTAGGCTGCCCTGTAACAGCCACAATGTCACAAAAGGACACATGACCTTTTAGGTAAGTCCACATGGTGACAGAATGCATAACTTCACAGAACACTGACCCACCAAGCAAACAAGATCCCCCCACTGCCACAGAGGAGCAGACCTCATGAGGAGGAAGAATGTCGCCAGGGACAAATCTCTGAGGCACTTCAGGGTATATAGGATTTTCCAGGTTGGGTCCAGATCATGGTCTGTTTGCTCATGTTACCAAAAGAGACCCAGGAGATGGGCTGACAGAGCACCTTGGTTAACTTCCCTGACATCACTTAGGTATACTTAGAAAACATTCATGACACTCACTTATGTGCATATACTTGCCCAAAGGATCTATCCAAATTGGCTTGACATTTCTGAATGCTCTTTGATTTGTTTGTAAGGGGAACGATAATACCGGATCAACACCAGTGCCAAAACCTAGATGTCAGATTAGTCATATGTACACTATGCCAAATGAAGGGTTGGGAGACATACACACAAAAAAACTGGTCAAATCCCTCAACTATGGATCATTTACTATATAAACTAAACTGTTGGATTTTGGCTTCCAGGCATAAAGATACCAGCCCCCTCATACTTCCTATTCTGCTCTGCCCTCCTCTTTCCTCAACTCCCAATAAACAAACAAACAAACAAAAAACACACAAAAAGACACAAAAAACCCCCAAAACAAAACAAAACAACAAAAAAAGTTTCTCTCCTAGTTGGTTATCCTTGAGTTAAGTTTCCTTGCTGGCTTCGTGATCAGTACCCTCCTCAGCTGGGTCTTTAAAGTGTACATTCAAATCAAGAACAACAAAGAGAAGCCAGGGACAGCCCCAAAACTCAGGAGTATGTGCAGAGGTTCATCTGTAAGATTCTCTGATGAAAGCACTGAGTGCCAGGTGCTTTGGATCTGTGACTACAATTAGGGAGACTCGTTGTTAGCCAAAGGGATGCATGTGAACCAGAGGTTGGAATCAAATTGCTATTGTGTGTCCCTTGCTGACCTGATTAGTTTCCCACCCCTACCATCACTTTGGCAATGTAAGGACAAAACCAGTCTTCTCTTGATGATTCCAGGTTGGACTTCTCAGTTTGCAGGTCCTCCTAGAATCAAGCTTCCTTTCTCATTTTGTCCCTTTGTCATTGTTTAATTCTCAGTGGGGCCAGTCTTTTTTTGGGGATATGCTAGTAATTAAGGGATGGGTGCTAACATTTTTCAAGTGGGAGAAGTGGGTCTCTGAGTGTACAGAGACCTCTATGTTTTTTTCACCTTTAAAATGAGAGCTGAGTTCAGTTGTTACATTTTTTGCACTGGGGGCGCCTGGATGGCTGAGTCTGCTAAGCACCCGACTCTTGATTTTGGCTCATGTCATGAACTTAGGGTCATGGGATGGAGTCCAACCACAGAGTCTGCTTGTCCCTCTCCCTCTGCTGCTCCCCCTGCTCATGCTCTCTCTCTCTCTCTCACAAATAAATAAATAAAACCTTAAAAAATATTTTTTGCATCAACTTAATACTGACTACAGCTCTAACATCCATGGGATCTCCATGATGGCACTGTAAATACCTGTGATGTGCTAAAAGTTCTCCCAAAGAGTGTCCCAAAGAGTCATCTTGCTCCACTCCCCTCCCCAAGAGCTTAATTTACTCAGCAGAAGGGCTCTACAAACAACAAAATCCATCAGTGACTCAACCCTGGTTGGCATTTGAAAATATTAAAAGTAAACAAAATATGACTTTCAAGCTACCCAGTGGACAACATCCTCTTCATTCCCCACCCTCCACTTCAAGGTGCTTTCTGATCTTCCATTCGCTCCAGGTTCCCCTCGTTTCATTTCCTTCCAAGGAAGCCTTCTATGCTTCAAGTCATTTCTGTCCATTTCTGCTTCCCTTGAGAATGCTCGTGTACCAAGATCTCCAGAACCAAGAAATTGAAAAAACATTTCCTGATGGAGGTGGAGATGACTGGTGACATATTTTTCCCAACCAGATAACTTTTAAGTCTCAACAGGGGCGTTTTCTGCTGTAAACCAAAAGGAGTGTGTAATTATGGGAATTCCAGATATTGGGGAGGTGCAATGAGGGTGGAGAGGAGTTGGGGAGCCTTCAGGAAGTGGAAGTTCTCCACAATCCTGTAGGTGGCCGCTGGTGCACAAAGCTAGGCCAGTCTCTACAAGAACAAGGGCAAGTGAGAGAAAGAAAACTCTCATCCTTTATTTTGGCCTTCAAGTATGACTGGAGGAGTCTGCAATCATTTGTCAGAATGAAACTTTTGGCCGGATCATCAGTGAATTCTATTTATCTCTCTTCCCTTCTCAACACAAATAACTGAAGTTACTGTTCTTTTTTCCAACCATCTTCTTCCCTCCTCACTCTATGTCCCTTTTTTCTCTGTCATGTGGTGTTTTCTAAGAGGCTGAGGGTGTCGTGATCTTCCCCTTTCTCATTCCTTCAGGGCTCTACTCAAATATCACTTCTTCAGAGAAGCCTCCCCTGGCCACTCTTTTGAAAGTCCCCACCCTTCCCCTTCACTGGCCCTTGATCCTGCTTGGTCTTTCTTCACAATACCCATGCCAACCTAAAATCTCCTCACTGCTTGTGTTCATTGTCTTTCCTCTTCCACTAGGTTGTAAGGATGATGCTGGCAAGTGGCCTTAGTCTAGCTTGTTCATCTCTTGGAGTGTCTGTAACTGTGTCTTGCAGACGATAGGCATGTAATACATATTTCCAGATCGAATGCCCGAGTGAGTACATGTTTCCTGATGCACTGAGGTTTCTGAGGAGCTGGAGCAGGTGCCCTAGCATCTGTGGCTAGTGACTCTCAGTAGGCAAACTGACTATCAGGCATCACTCAACTTGCAGACACACCTGTTTGCCTCACTGAGAGACTGGTACAGAGAATGGGACAAAGACTGTCTCCTGCCCTGCTGCTCTGCAAGTTGCTCCACATCCCCAAGTGGAGTGGCAAAGCAGCTCTTCTAGAGAGACTGGTTTGGTCAATCAGATTCTTCAACGTATTGTCTGTTGGCATTCTGGAGGGCAGTTCTTTAAATAACAACTTCTTCTTCTAATTACTCAAGTAATACATGTTGTCAAAAATTTGAAAAATGCAGATAAACCAAAAGAAGAAAATGAGAACCACCTGTGGTTCAATCATCCAAAGACAGTCATCATTAAGAGTCTGCCATATGCTCTTCCAGCCTTTTATTTTGGCCTAAGTGTATTATAAACACTTATTTATTTAACCATTCTTGCTCTGTGTTCAGTTGAACTATTCACTTCTTATTTGAATCACCGGTATCACCAAAGGCCTAAGCATAGAATGAAATGGGATTAGGTCTGAAGGGCCAAGATCAAAATTGGAATGTTATATAGTGGGGATACTCAAAAAAATATATGTTGGCTACGTTCATGGTTGCCTGCTGATCATGAGGAATTGTGTCAGCTCAAGGAATTTAGTTCTCTGCCTACTTTGAAAAAGTTTTGGCTTTTCATCTGTGTTTACAAAACTGCACATAGGTGTAAGAAATGATAGATAAATTCATGTGCAAGGAACAGACTTACTCATTCACACCTAGAATATTGGAGCTGGAAAGGCCCTAAGAAATCATCTGCTCTAACCCTCTTGTTTTGCAAAGGAGGAAACTGAAGCTCAGAAAGGTGCAGGGACTTTTTCTAGGTTACATAGGAAACCAGTGGCAGAGCCAAGATTAGATTGCTTACCAATCCCCAATGTTGTCAATCGCAACACTACAGACTATATTTTTATCTACATCATAGGCATTAAAGCCACTACTTAATTTGCTTTTTTTCTTATCAGTTCAATATTTTCTATTGGCCTGGAAAAGACAATGGGCTGTAAATGATCTGAATTCGAAACCTTGGTTTTATTATCAATTTGTGTGACTCGGGGCCGGTCACTCAATATGCTTCAGTTTTATCTTTAATAGAGCAATAATATCATTATAAAATTGTAGTGTTGGGATGGGAGCTTTGAGATTAATTGTTCCAAGCTTTCCATTGCACAGATGAGGCTGATGAAGGTCAGGGTAGATTTGTCACATTTCCAAGGTCACACAGCAACTTAGCTCAGGCCCAGAACCCATGCTCCTTCCACTCTACCTCACCTGTCTCCAACCCTGTCTCAAAAGGCTCATGGATGCAATTGTGTTTGATGAGTTAAACAGTGACATCAGTGACAGGTTCTACTGTTCTTCTGTATAATCCTCACAATCCAATTTCTCCACAATTTAGAAAAGCCAGGCTGAAGTCTGGCACTTAGGGCTACGTGGGCCCAAAGGTGTGGTAGACACGGGCGCACCCCCAGTCTACTTCTGAGTAGTAAGTTTCTTCCAAGGAACCATCTTATCAGCCCTTCAAGAGAGGGGAGGATAGGTTCATTGTTAGAGCTGGTATCATTACGCTGTTGTGGCAGATGGATTAGGTTTCTGGTGCTCAAAGAACACCGAGAAGGACTCTGTGGGGATCTCAGTCAACCAAAGGCAGGGCTTCCAACCAACGCACCTTTTGCCTTTTTACCTGGGCACACCTTGCAGCACTTCCCATCTATTTTTTGAGGATACTTGCAGGGGTATCGATTGGGGCAGTGGATTTTCTTACACTCTTGCTTGGTGACATTACAAGTGCACAGCACACACTCCACAATGCCAAATGCTCGGAGGTTTGGGTGCCAGGACTCGCCATGGGAGTAGGTCTTTCCATTGGAAACACACACTGGAAGAGAACACAGGACTGGAAATTAAAGGCTAGGGAGCTTGACATGGGTCCCTGTGCTCAGAACCCAAGATCTGAACCCCTTAGGACATCAGGCATCCTTTGTCCTTTTCGTGGCTCCAAGATGTATGTTGACAGAGCAGCTTCTGTAATCAAAAACAAAAACCAAAGAAAACCCTCCAAAACCAAAACAAAACCCCAGCTCAGTTCCTGTTCTCCTGTTAGTGACTACTCAGGTCCTTCAGCAGTAGCCTCTGATCCTCACAAGTGCCCGGCCCATGGTGAGCCATCAAGAAATATTTCTGAAAGTGGAGGAATGTATCAATGGATGAAAGGAGAATTCCATCTGCCCTGGGTACCTGATGAAGAAACTCTAGTAGAATTTAGCCTTAATACCAGCAATTTTACAAAAGATCTCTATGGCCCAAGTAGATAGGCTTCCTGGCATGAAAGTTTCCCAGAGAACTTGGCTGCTCAGGGAGGCTAGATGCAGAAACTATTGCTCTTCCCAAAGGGCCGGTATTTCCAGATCCCGAAGCAAATCCTTCCAAAATATCCCAGGCTATGAGAGTCTGATCCAGCAACACAGATGGGTATGGAGCTAATGGCACTGGCCTCCCATCTGGCATGAGAAAGAAGGCGCTAATATAAGATCTAGAGGGAAAGGATCATGAAAGAAAGAGCCTTCTGTGCCTCTGATCTTCAGCAATATCCTCTGGTCCCCACCTCACAGTGGCTGTAGAGATTCCATAGCAGTGAATCACCGTCTAGCCTAGAGATAGCCTTTGGTGGTCTCACATTTGTTGGGCGGGAAGTGAAGTCACAGGCTCCATGTTTTCTAAGGTGCCTTGGGAGAGCTGTAGGCTGAGGGGCTGATGAAGGGAAGGGGCCACAGGAACAACCTCCCATGCAAACCAACGAAAACTTGTCCGGCTCCCACTGCAAGGCATGGAGATAGGCTCCAGTATAAGAACTCTACTGGGCTTAAACAGGGAGGGCTGAGAATAAGTTCTCTCCCTTTTTGAAAGTGCCGAGACATTCTGGAGATTTTAAGCCATGACTGGGACTGGGTGTGTTTCTCATTATTCCCATCACCTCATTATACCCAGGGAGACCTGTCGGCATCCCGATCAACAACATATCTAGTGTGGGTTGTATCACTTGAGGTGGGGCTAGGCTGGGAGAAAGAGCCCCACTTGGGGCGTTTCTAGGAACTGACTGATTTGGCCGCAAGACAATGGCCTCAGAAGGATGAATCATTGGGCTATTTCTTTCTCATCAAGTCCACTGGGTCACATTTGGAAATATGGATGATGTTGGCTGCCTTTTCCTGTCCTTTGCAAGTACCGCTAGAATCCTAGGCACTCTAGCAGGTCAATCCATGCAAAGATTTCCAAGAACCTGAGAACCTAAACAAGAGAAGCTCCCAAACTTACACGGAGATAGGACAGGAAGTTGACACATGATCTGTGAGGCTCAGGGCTGGGGATGGAATCATGTGACAGCAGGCCAGATGTGTTTTCTTTCTCCTGTCCCCACCCCTCCTCTCTCCACGGAAGAGAGTGACCCTCCCTTCTAGACAATGTGATCAAGGTAGGCACATAGTCTGTTGGAGTCAAGTTCAAAATAGCTGAGTCCTATCACTTCTCCTCTTTGACTTAGGCAGGGGACCAAGCAGATGCGTCCCAGAGGAGCACATCTGTTAGCAGGAAAGCTAAGGAGAAGGACAAGCAGGACCTCCAGTGTTATATAACCAGCTTCCCTCTCCCCTAAACATTTCGACTAAGGGAACAATCTAGACAAGGTGAGAGCCTACACTCTAAGATGCAGGAGTCGGAGGTCAGTGCTCTAGAGGGAAACGCAGCCTTCTCTCCAACAACGAACTCTTGATATGATTTTAAATCATCCAGCTGGGGCATTGAGAGTGGGGGGTGGGCGCAAGTGATTCTCCAGTGAACTATAATAGAAAGGTCAGGAAAGAACCACTGCATCCAAATCAATGGGAGCAATGAAAAAATGTAAACCAGCTGGGCCTTTTGTAGGACACAGAATAAATCAAGGGATGAGCCTCTGCCCTAAAATGAAGAGGCCTGTGGAAATTATGGGATTTAGGATTTTCAAAGTCCATTATCCCACAGGTTTCTTTCTTTTTTTTTTTTTAAGGCTTTGAAATACTTTCAGAGCAAATGGAATCTACTGGAGACAATTTTGGATTGACAAACTGCATCTTTACCCCCTACTCCCCCGCATTTCATAAATTCATATCGGAATGCCTTGGAATTTAAAAATAATACATTTCAAATCAAAGCCAGATCGATAGTAAATATTTCCAATTCTTCTAATATATCACCATTTTTTATTAAGAGTTTTATTTTGCATGTTCTTCTTTTAAGCCTGTTAGTTTCAAAAGCGATTCCATGTTTTTTATCTGTAATCTGAAATTTACATCTAACTCGTAACAGATGTGATCAGCCAGCTTTGGTTTGACCAGCTTTGTTGAGATTTATAGTAGGAGCTCTTTGTAACGGATTGTTTTTCACCCGTGTTATTCAATCATTTGGTTTAATAATTTATTACTTTTAACCCGTTCAGGGAACTGGCTTTGATTCGTTTCTCCTTTAAAGGAAACAAAACATGTTTGTGGTTTCGTAAAAGGGAACCAGCTGAGCTCTTGCTCTGAAGAGTTGGTTGACATGATGCCTAAAAAAGTAAGAAGCAGTCAATTGTTTGATTGAATTTCTCTTCCCCACTCCACCCCCCGCTACTGGGGTGGGGGTGGAGGCCGGGGAGCTCTGCGCAGGAAGGTCTGGGGCCACGGACATGTGTGGGTGCCTGTTTCAGCCAGCTGGTCGGCTGAGTGGGGCTGCATGTCCATGTTAACTTGATCAGTCCTTCTGGTGCTTGGCCAAGATGTCTCTGGATTTCTTACTGGGTTACTCATTTCTAATGTCAATCGCCTCATGTGAATTAGAATTTCTAAGCGTGGGGCCCGAGAATACGTATCTTTAGCAAGGGGTCCGGGAAGAATCCCGGGTACCCTGAGGAATGAGAATCACTATTTCTAAGGTGCAGAGCTAAGAGCTTCCAAAGCGTCTGGCGCTGAGTACCTGTGAATATTGGGTGCCTAACGGGAAAACAATCTCTCCTTCCTTTAAGGATCCAATCAACTTACCCCAAAGACCTGCAACCCCGTAGGGCAACTGCAAAAAGGCTGGGGGCCACGTCAGGTTCACTGCTTTCTTGCCTTTCGATCTAAATAAAGACAGATACACTGGAAGCAGAAACTAAGTTCTTCCGGGCTGTGTTTAAGGAAATCCTGACAGTTTCTTGGAGTCGCTTGTCCACAGTCGCTTGGAGGCTTGATGATAAGTGATGCTCTTGTGACTGTCTGATATGCTTGGGACACAGTGCCCTTTCTAGGTCCAGCCCTCCATAGATGGTGGGGAGAGGGGAGGTGGGGAGGTGGAGGTAAGGCATGGAAATCCTGCTGTGGATGTGGTACAGAGGGAGTGTGCTCCTTACCCTGTCCGTGCTTGTGTTTGTTGTTAATGACAATCTGCACGATGGTGCCCGATGCTTGCTGGGAATCCATAAGAGCTCCTCGGTGGCTTCTGGCCCCAGGAAAGCGGGGCAGACCACCAGCCTGTCGGCTTGGTGGAGAGTCATAGTGAGAGCGTTGGTAGGAATGTCTCTGTAAAACAACAAGGACAAACTCAGTCCCCCAAAGCCACCAGAGAAAAGGCAGGAAGGGACTGACACACACGGCTGCAGCCCTTTCATGAACCGTAGCAATGACCTGAGCTCTGATCCTAAATTAACTACATGTCCACCCACACCAGTAGCCACATGAGGATATGAAGGAAGAGTAGCTTTGATGACACACTGAGATTTCTCTCTCTCCGTCCAGGAGACTGGGTGAGCATCATTGACAAACCTTGCGGGGAGCAAACAGCCAATAAAAGGGAAATAAAGTGTTATTCTTGTCCCCAAGAATCTCATGTGTAATAAGTAAGGTACTAGCCTGCAACACAAGGTGGGAGAGAGGCCACAGGAAAAGTATCAATTGCTGTGCAAAGTAAGAAGAGAAAGAGAACTGGTTGGGGAGGGTTTGTGACCTGGGCCATGAAGGGTGGACAGAATTTTTTTTTACAGGAAGAATTGATGGGGAATATTCCAGGCAGCCATTTCCAAGTTGAGAATATGTAGCAGAGAACATAGAGTCCATAAAAGGGAACAGTTGAAGGATAACATTCCAAAAGTGGGTTGCAGCCAGATCATGAAGCACTTGAAATGACAGGCTAATAAGGGATGAGGACTTTATTCAGTAGGTGACAGAGGAGAAGGTGTGGAAGCCTTTGAGGGTTTTTTTTTTTTTTTTGTAAAGCAGGGAAATAATCAGAACTGTGTTTCCAAATATTGATCCCTAATCATGTATAGGGTGGATTGGAAAGGAAGAGATGAGACCTACGGATAGTCCAGATAAAATGCACTGAGACTCTCAATGCAGCCAATGGCATGAGATCATAGGGCAGAGTACAGATACCCTGGACATTTTGTAGGATAACTGACAGTGTATGAGAGTACCAGGATGTTAGCCAGAGGTGAGGGTTTTGTTTTGCTGTCACTGCTAGATCTCCAGCCCGAAACAGTGGCCAGCATGTACAAGGGGCTCATTAAACACTCATTGGATGAATAAATGAATGAATGCTATGGTCCCTAATGAATGCTTAGAGTCCTGTAGTCTAAATTATAGAACCACTGCTCTCTCGGTAAGGGTTCAATACATGGTGAACCCACCAAGCTCTTACCCACCCATCTCCCAGGAGCTGAGGGAACATGAAGGCAGAGGAAGTTGGAATGAATGAAGACTAGACCCTAAAGCAAAAAGCCAAATAAATAACATTGTGTTTTGGGGGCAACTGTTGGGGTAAAGGAAGGGTGACCCACTAAAAAATCTTTTGCAGGCTCTTAGATCCTTATATTCAGTGTTAGAAATGACAGGGGATCTTGGACACACATGTTGCAAATTGAGTTTTGGGAATCATTATTATTCTTTTGGTGGGGGAGGCATTGGTGGGAGAAGGGGAGAGAGAACAGGAGCTGGAGTAAGAGAAAAAGAACATAACTCTAAATCTAAGAAGAGTCCATGCCGGCACATCGCTAGAAAATCTCACACAAATAAGACTTTGCATCAATTTATTATCATGTACACAGATGGGATTCTCAGTGAAAATATTTTTCATTCCCACAATGGCTTATATGTCCTTTTCACTCACATTCCACAAAGACCATTACAGATTGTTCTGTCCTTTCTGGAGTCTGGCAAAGTTTTGCCAAAGGAACACAGAGACGACAGTTTGGCTGGTGGGTGTCCTACCGATGATACTAAGGGGAGGAAGTTCAACGGCTAGAAATTGCAAGAGAAAAGGTCGCTGACCCAGGATAAGCAGCAAGTACAAGAAGTTCTCTGATTCATGAGGGTGAGAATGAAGTGAAAAGCTATTCTTTGGTACCAGGCCTGAGACCCTGGACATAGGGTAAGGGCAGAAAAAAAAGATTCAAAACCCAAACAAACAAACAAAAAAAACCCCTCAAGGATTTTGATAGTCTGTCAGAATCTCACCTTGTTTAAGGCTTTTGTTTTATAGACAGAGAAACCAAGGCCAGAGAGGAGCAGGGTTTTATTTAGGGTGACAGTGAAGATGGAGTTTTTGGAGATGGCAGGGGAGTAGGGACGGGGGGGGGGGCGGGCAGAGTGCAGAGGAAGATGAACAGGAGGAAAAAAGGAAGGAGAGATTGGGAGAGGGAATGTGTGGTCAAGCTCAGCGGGCTGCAAACATTTGGCTAAAAGCTGCTCTGAAGAAAATATCAAAGTCTGCTAAGACGAGGGTGCCTGGGTGGCTCATCCAACTCTTGGTTTCAGCTCAGGTCATGTACTCGGGGTCCTGGAATCAAGCCCCAGGTCAGGCTCTGCACTCAGCGGGGAGTCTGCCTGAGAGTTTCCACTTCTGCCCCTCCCCACCTCAAAGAAAGAAAACTTAAAAAAGAAAAGTTTGTGAAGAGAACAAAGTCCAGGACTGACTGGGTGGCTCACTTGGTTAAGCATCTGCCTTTAGCTCGAGTCCTGATCCCAGGGTCCTGGGTTTGAACTCTGCATTGGGCTCTCTGCTCAGTGGGGAGCCTGCTTCTCTCTCTCCCTCTGCCCCTCCTTGTGCTTTCTCTCTCTCCCTTTTTCCCTCTGTGAAATACATACATAAAATCTTTAAAAAAAAGATAAAAAGTCCACTACAGTGTTCACAGCCTGGGAGTGGGGGTGGCAATGTGTGATCTGGACTTGAGGGTAATGGCTCTTTTAAAGTTGTTCTCCTAAACAAAGGAACGGAAGAGGCTTACCAGAGACCATTCTGACCTTTTTCAGGGAGAAAGAGAAAAAGACATTAACAAACTGGAGCTTATCTTCAAACTCAGCTGTGAAGAGCCTGCTTGAGAGGGCAGGTCAAGTCTAGTCAGGTAGAAGTGGCCATGTAGCTAGGCTTTGTTTTATTCTGTTCCATATTTTGGCATTATTTGATTTCCTGACTTGAAGTGCTGATAATTCTCTCAGGCTTTTTTTTTTTTTTTTAAAGATTGGTCTGTCTGTCTGTCTATCTATCTTACTGAAGACCTTTCTACACACAATGTGGGGCTCAAACTCACAACCCGGAGATCAAGAGTCACAAGCTCCTCCAACTGAACTAGCCAGGCACTCTTCTCTCAGGAATTTGAGATGGTTCTCACACACTTTTTTTCTGATGGTTGGACAACCCCTATTACTGCAGAAAGTTCTCCAGGAATTTCTTCCTTACTTGTCCTAAGAGTGAAGGGTTATATTGGCAGAGACAGGAAAACAGGACAGTTCAGGAAAAGTCTTCGAAGTGACTTCATGGCTGTGAATCTAAAGTTATCACAAAATAAAAAGTTTAATTTAAAAAATGTCTTCAGAGAGGTACCCAGGTCGCTTAAGTTCCTGTCTTCAGCCCAGGTCATGATCCCGGGGTCCTGGGATCGAGCCCTGAATCGGGCTGCCGGCTCAGCCTTTGGCTGCTCCCCCTGCTTGTACTCTCCCTCTCTCTGTCAAACAAATAAATAAAACCTTTTAAAAAATGTCTTCAGAATGTGTGGTAATTCACACGGCTATAAGCCTGTTATAGCTTCATCACTGGCCCCCTGGGACCATTCCTGTCTGGGAGACACTTGGGCCGGTTTCCTTCCCAAACCACTGTTCTGACAATGTGAATGAGACATGGATTTCTATCTGTTTCCTATTGTTTCTATCCTTAAAGCTTTCACTTTTCTAATGGTTAATCTCCGAGTAATCTTTTGGGGACAAAATCAGAGTTTGGCTGTCATCCAGAACAAAATTCTGCTTGCTTTCATGTTTTGGTTTTCCACCCTGCATCTACTTCTCCCTCACTACAACACATACACACACACACACACACACACACACACACACACACACACACACACCCATGGTATCAGGACCAGTAAATGTGAAATTATGATCTGGAAACTGAACAGAAACCAGTTTAGGATTTTCCAAAGGAGCCATAATTGAGCCACTGGTTCTCCTTCGTGTACACTTCATAAAACTTGGTAAAATGGATGGTTTTCAACCCACTTGCCGAAATAGAGCCATCACCTGTGTTCCTATCGAACTGAAGTTTTCCATGGTTCCCTGTAAGTAGGAATGCTCTATTAAAGTGACAGGCTACCGAACTGGCAATGTGTTGTTAAGGTTTCCTTTTTTGATCCCATTCAGACAGTTGGGCCTGCAAAGTATATCCAGAAGGGGTTCTCCTACCTTCTAATTTTTGGCTGGTCAAGAGGCAGCAATGAGTTTGAAGCACCTCACTCTTATATGGGACAAATTCCCAAAGCACATTAACATTCATGAGAAGCCCCTCATACACATTTCACTCCACCTTCCACATCCCTTCCTTTAACACGTATTTCTTGGGTGCCTACTATGTGCAAGGTACATATTTTTCTATTACTACAGATACTATTTATTATTCAGATCACATCCCACAACATCTACCCCTTTTGGAACAAAGGAAAATATTTATTTATCATAAAGTGGAACCATCTGGATATTTTGGTCTACCGGGCCCCAATGTTTGTTTCTAAAGATAGGTCAATTCCTTTGAAAATCAATAACTATTTCAAGGCGTTCTGAACCTGACCTCTTTTGCTACAGGAAGTATGGGATTAAGTTCAGCCCAATCTCCAGCAGTTTTGGAAGAAGGACGAGATGGAAGGACAAAGGTGGGGTTGGAGGCAGCATAAAATGAAGTCAAGAAGAAAGGCGCATTAATAGCCTTACCAGCAGGACCTCCGAGCTGGCCGCAACGCTTAACATTGGGGTCCAAGCACCCAGCTTATGGTGTCTGAGACCCAAATTCAGGAAGAATGGCATGTGGTTGGTGGCCACAAATTTAGTCATTCTTAACATCCTCCCACAATAAAAAATGAGGGTGGATTAAAGGAGGAAATTCACAACACAGAAGATGGAGACTGGCATCATCTGTTAGGATCTGGAAGGAATCTCACTTCCTATAAAGCAGATAGAGGTAGATGGAGAAAAGCTTCTTAAAATTTTTTTAATGTTTTTATTCAAATTCCAGTGAATGAACCTACAGTGACATATGAGTTACAGGTGTACAATGTAGTGATTCCACACTTCCATACAACACCTGGCACTCATCTCCTCCTGAATCCCCACCACTTACTTTACCCATCCTCGGGATCCATATGAACCTGCAAACTGGGAAGCCCACCCCCTCTTGCAGGAGTGCTGCTTGTTTTGAGATATCCATAGTGTTGTTCTCTACCTGACCCACAGGTAGAGAAACAGAAACAGCAGTGTCAAAATGACAGGACCAGAGAAGAAAGCACACAGATACTGCTTCAACTTGCACAGAAGGCAGAAGCAACACTGGGAAGTTTATATTGGCCATTTTATCAGGTTCCCAAAAACACCTTCCTCACACCTTCCTTATCCTTGGGTTTGCCCCATAATTCCTCAGGCTCTGGACTTCTACACAATGCTTGTTGAGAACTAATTCCACAAGTTAAAAAAGAAAACATTTAAATGTTATATACTGCAAAATTAATCGATGCTCATTGAAAAACGTACGATGGAGGTACCTGGGTGGTTTAGTCATTAAGCATCTGCTTTCAGCTCAGGTCATGATCCTGGAGTCCCAGGATCGAGTCCCACATCAGGCTCTGCTTCTCCCTCTGATCCTCACCCCACTTGTGCTCTTTCTCTCAAATAAATAAAGTCTTTTTTTTTTTAAGAAAAACATCCAATGATACAGAACAGATAGAGTAAAAAATCATGCTCTCTCTTTCCCCCTGCCCATTTCCACCCCTCTGAGATTACCACATGTAATGTGTTGTTATATGATCTTCCAGATCTTTCCATAAGTATTCATTCATGCACACGCACACACTTACAATTTTTACATAAAGAAATGATAGTAGAAGTTTTATCTTGCACCTTGCTTTGTTTACATAATATATCTTGGGGATCCCTCCACTCGAATACCCTTCAATGTTCTGCATTCTTTTTAACAACAGCACCGTGTCCCACAGATTGGGTGTGTTCACCCAAGCCCCTATTGCTTACGTTTGGGCTCCTTCCATTTGTTTTGCTCTTAGGAAAATAATGCTGCATTGAATGCCCTATACATTTTTTTTTTGGTACCAGGGTCCAATGAATGTCCATGTATGTACCATGAGCACCTTCATACATTTTGTACAGTTTCATAAATCCTTCTATATGATAGATTCCCTGAACTGGAACATCCCCTTTTCAGATTTTAAGAAGTTTGAGGTATGGCTGTATTTTGACATATGTTTTTGAGAAAAGGATGGCATTTTGTCAATTACGTTGAAATACACAGGGACGAGAGATGCTGTTGTATACACAGAGAGGCTTTCTATGAGGTTAGCACTGACAACGGAAATGAGATGCTGCAGGGTGGAGAAGGAGTATGCGACCTGCTTCCTTTTCTCTCTTGCAGCTGTGTGACTGAGAGCCTAAGGCTTAGGAAAGGCTTTATGGAGACATGTCCATGGTACCTCTGTCACACCTGACCTTAGCCAAAAGGCCGAGAAGCGATCATGGTACCTCTGCCAAAAGGATGGACAGACCTACCTTACAGTCCCACAGGAGGTCCTCACTACTGAGGACAGAGGTAGTCACCTGCTTTCCTTCCAGAAGACAGAGATTTGGCAAACCATCCCGAAAGGCTACCAGCTTTGGATCTAGACGGCGAGTACCTAAGGGCTGGGGCTGTGATTTCTTGGTGTTCACGTCCTGGCCCTAGTTATCAATTATACAGTGAACTTAAATGGCTAGAGTTTGGTGATGATGCTGTTTAATTTTCCGAGGAAAGGGAAAGAGCAGTGGTGTTAGAAATGGGCCCTTTTATGGAGTTGCTGGGATAATAGCCATGGAGAGAGGAAAGTTTGGATTGGTGCTGGGGAGGGTTGAATTATTTGAGCTATTCACACTTACTGCTTCTCTGTTGGCAGGTTGCCGGAAGATATCACCATCAGAATGTTCCCACGACAATTCTCCATCCCCTGTTTATTACAAAATAAAGACAGAGTTATACAGACTTAGAAGGGAAAACCATAACCCTTGTGACCTAGCCACATTTTTGGTTCTATGATCCCAAATTTCTCCAGACATTTTAAATGTAGTTAAGATGGCCATCCTTCCAGGCACCCTGGTGTCTCAGTCGGTTGGGGGTCTGATTCTTGATTTTGGCTCAGGTCATGATCTCAGGGTCATGGGATCAAGCCCCGCATCAGGCTCCATGCTGGGTATGAAGCTTGCTTAAGAGTCTGTCTCTCAGCCACTTCCCCCATCTCTCTCTGTCTCTGTCCCTCTCTCCTTCCTGAAAAAAAAATGGCTGTCCTTTATAAAGTGACCTGGAAAGATTTCTCTCTGTATCTGTCTCAATTTTCAAAAACAACTCTGAAGAAAGTTGTCACTTTTTTAAAATTTTATTTTTTTAAGATTTTTATTTACTTATTTGAGAGAGAGAGAGAGAAAGAGAGAGAGAGGGAGCAAGCACGAGCAACAGGAAGGGGCAGAGGGAGAGGGAGAAGCATGTTGTCCACTGAGCAGAGAGCCGGATGTGGGACTCGATCCCAGAACCCCAGGATCATGACCCGAGCTGAAGGCTGTCACTTAGCCGATTGAACCACCCAGGAGCCCCATCCATTCACACTGCACAAATTTGGGAAACAAAAGGGAAAATAATCACTTTCCATTGTGATATAGCCATCAGCCTCACTTTTGCTTACTTTATTCCAGTGTCAGTTCAGTATCTTGCAGTTCGTACTTAACTTGTGTTTAAACTACCCTTCTAAAATGAGAATTTCAAGGATTTGGTCTGTCATAATTTGTTAAATTCACCCTGATGTCTCTGAGAAGTTACGACCTGGTCTGAAAGTTAAGGTTAATCTTGTGGTGGCTGGAATGTTTACCTAACCAGTATCCAAGTTGTACTCCTCTGTTTTTGCCCGCGATACCTTCTTCTGGGTCTGTGTGTCCATTCTCTGAAGAGTGAACACTTATCATTGCCTCATTGCAGAGTAACTTCTTTTGGGAGGAAGATCCTACCTTTAGCCTTGAGAACAACATACCACAGACAGTGATATTCCTCAGCCAATTAAAGATCACAAACTACAGGACAATTTCCAAGGATATTACCTTGTGTTACTGATGACCAAGTGAATCGATGGGAAGAGCTGGGTCTTACTCTCAGTATCAGTTAAGACATGTATTTCACAGGATAGATAGCAGGAAATATCAGAAAGTATCAGCATGAAGAATTTTCTATTTGAATTTACCCCATGAGCTTTCAAAACCCACTTGGACATAGTAACATGTTTCTGGTTCAAGGAGATTGTAGTACTGAGGGAAAAATTAGGTAATATCATTGGCTTTTAGGACTTACAAAAGACCTCAAAATTCCTTTGATGGCAATGTTATAAGGTAGTGATATATAATGATGTTATGGCTTTAACCCTTCACGATTTAAAGATCATCTCATGGAAAAAAAAATTATGAATCATCAAGATGCACTTGAGAGAGAGGCACCTGGGCGGCTCAGTCAGCTAAGCATCTGCCTTCTGCTCAGGTCATGATCCTGGAGTTGCCAGATCGAGCCCCACATTGGGATCCCCACTCAGTGAGGAGTCTGCTTCTCCCTCTGGCCCTCCCCCCTCTCATGTTCTCTCAGAGCTTTGGAAATGGCAAGGAACACACTGAAGACAGCCTGCAAGATGTGGCTGGAGTAGAGAGTTCAGGTGTGAAACAAGTGAAATGGGGAAGGTGGAAAGAAAGGAGGAGGGGTGAAGAGGAAAGGGAGGCAAGGAAGGAGAGAGGGAGGGGAGGAGACTGGTCGTTGATGTAAATAAAGGTGGTAAATAATTGCTGTGTGACTTCAGAAAGAAGCCGAAGAATTCGCATTTTATCCTGTAATGAATTTTTATGTAGAGGTTCCTATAGCAAAAGATGGTGATTTGTGGCAGCTTCTCTTGGTGATGGAGTGTCTCCTACCTGGGGGGCAATCAGAATCTGGGAGGTTGTTTGTATTAACATGTGACAGGCCCTGAGAATCTCTGAAATCATGGGGAAGGGGCAAATAAGACTACTTCAGATAAAAAGGCAATGATATGATCCTGATGGGAGATCTGATAAAAGAGGAGGATGGCAAAAGAGAAAATAGTGTAAAAGGATGCTATGGTGGTGGGGGGAGGGGAGGACGCCTGGGTGGTGCAGTTGGTTAAATGTCTGACTCTTGATTTCAGCTCAGGTCACGATTTCAGGTTCCGGGGATTGAGCCCTGTATCTGTTGGGCTCCATGCTCAGAGGGGAGTTTGTTTGAGGATCCTCTCTCCCTTTCTTTCTGCCCCTTCCCTGTTCTCTCTCTCTTTCTAAAGTAAATACATAAATCTTTAAAAAAATTTTTTTTAATCAAAAGATGCTAGGCTTGCAAATCTGAACAGCTGGGAAATGGCACTGCCCTTGAAGTGAATGAATAGGGATGAACTCAAATGTACTTCGTCCCTTTTCACTGGCAGTGTGGCGAGTCCAAGCTTTGTCATGAGCCAGATGAAAATAGGGGACCCAAGAGAAGACTGGAAACCAGAAGAGATTCACCAGCAAATGGCAGAACAAAATGGAAAAGCCATGGAATGTGTTTTGGGGCCCAATCTAAGTAGCCCAAAGAGAATAAATCACAAAGGAAAAATGAGAGAAGAGCTCTCATCACCAAATACGTCCTTCACAAACATAGATTTAATGGTTGGTACTGACATGGAAGGTTTACTTAGCGTGACCTTTTGAGAAGTTCCATTTATTGCATTAAGGCCCTAGAGTCTTGAAAGGGCTTTTAGATAGTGTCCTGAAATACTTAGAGTCCAGGTAGAACCCTGAAGCAAGTAGTCCCTGTTAAGTGAACAGAGAGGTCAGATGGCATGGGAGCAGACGACTAATGTCCTGTAACCCAAGTTCAGAGAAATGTGTCACAACACTTAAGCATTTGCAGGCACACGTGCGTGCCTCAGTTGAAATCATTTCACTTCAGTTAAAAGCTCCTGGAGCCATTACTCCTGTACATATCCTCTCAAGTAGAAATGACTACTATTTTGGTTGCCTCTGAGCTTCTGATGCCATCGAAATGGTGTTCTCTAAGCTGGAGTGTTCTATATGTAAGGAGTCATTCTTTATCATTTGAACCATAGTTAAATTGGAAGAATCTTCTTTGGCATTCACATTTTGTTCAGCTGTGACCTGGGCCAAATCCGTCTGGATTGCTGATAATAGGTCTGTCTGTTTAGCATCTTAGGTACTATAGTTTAGATATATCTCAGATATATCTATGGGACAAAATACATCAAAGAAAAAATTAGCAGCAGTGCCCTAAAACCTATTCTGTTGCCTTTTTTTTTTTTTCTCTCTGATTCGCTGGGCAAATTGTCTTGAGTGAGAGGGAACTTTTTTTTCAGCCAGGGCTTTATCTTAAAAAAAAAAAAAGAAAGAAAAGAAAAAACAAAAACAAAACAAAACAAACAAAAAAAACCCACACTGATTCTAATGGAGACAGATGGATTCTAGTTAATTCCGAGAAGCAACAAGATGTAATTTTAACCAATTTTTAAAACCAAAATGAAAAACAACTCTAGTGTACTGTATGTCAAACAATATTCATTTAACCTTAAAAGCCACATGTGTTGTTTATTCAAACCTCAATTATATTCTGAGTGGTACCCTATGGAGCTAAAATGGCTTGGCTTTCTGGTAATGAAAGAAATGAAGAACAAGCATTTGAAAAATGGTCAAAAGCTGGGCTACAATTCAGACTGTTTATAACTCCCATTGCTTCCATTAATCTCTGGTTAGCCTGAGTAGGTCACAGAAGTAAACCCTGTCCTCTCGAGAGGACTAAGTGTACAATGAGATTATTAGAAACCCATGAAGATAAGCCTCAGAAAGCAAAACTACGCCAGCATGTGGTCACATCTGAACCACACACAACATCATACATAACATGACCCATAGGTCCCGATGGATCTGGGACAACCCACTTTCATGCCTTTTTCTGGCAGAGATAATTACTAAGATGGCCCTCTCACTTTCAAAAGTGTCTTGGTTTGGATGGGAAGATATGTAGTCACTCTAATCATAAGGCACATGGCAATGAAATGAATCCCCGAGACCAGGGCAGGGCGGGGACATGATCCCTGTGACAAGGGAAAGTGATCTCTATACTTTCAGAGGAACGCGTCGAAATCAGCAGAATCAGGGCAAATAGTTAAAGGGCTTTTGAGGGAAATCAGGAGAGTGTGGAGAGGAAGAAAGGGATCGTGACATCTCCACCTACTACGTGCCAGGTTCTGGGATGGACCACTTGATAGCCCGGACAGAATACCCAAGCTGGAGATGAAAGACAGAGTAGAAGCAGATGACTCGATGGGGGTCCTCTGCCAAACATCTAATTCTCTAAATTCTGTTGAGAGGGAGCAGGCATGCTGAAATTTGAGTGAAGCTTTGAAGAACTCTGGTAAAAGGATTCCCCACTGGTAGACCTTTCAGCTAACAACGATATATAGTACTACAAGAAGTCCTCCAGTGTTTTGTAGATGGTCATGTGTTCTAGAAAATACTCTGCTGTCAAATAAAGCACTTTATTGTTTGGGCTGTCAATACAAGCTCTTAGCATTTTCAACAAACTATCTGCTTGGGAAACACAAAGACACAGACAAGGGGGAACTCCTGCCAAGAGTAGCTAGCCAAATCTGAAGAGGAGTACAAAAGCATTTATCCAGGAAAGTCAGAAATACATACTTTTTAAAAAGAGCATTATGGGAGTGGCCAGTGCTTATGAGAGCCAATCATGAGGGAGGCAAAAGAGAAGCTATTAGCTGGATGATACCCACAAGCCACACTCTGCTCTTTCAATAGCTATGGAGATCCAAGCTGATAGTTAGAAATGGGGTCTTTGAGTCATCCCAATAAATCTAATGGAAGCGTTACCATATCCGGCCCTGGGGAGCAGAGTTGTCAC